CAACAATTAAAATAAAAACAACGCAATTGTCCTCCTCAGCCTTGCGCATTTTTGTTGCCGCTCTGAGCACTGATATTGTAAAATATAACCAAGTTTTGTGCCTTTTTGCCGAATGAATACATTGCAAGGTTATACTCATTGCACACAAAGTGCCTTCCACAAATGAACGCGATGCCTTGCTGATTTCATCAAAGGATGTAAACCATCAAGCAAACTCCAGTCATCCTCATAGTGGCTTTTGGCTGGCTATCGAACAAAGATGGTCACCGCATCACGTGCTTTCGGATGAGCTTCTGCAGCTGTCAGGAACACTCTTCCTTCCGATATTAGCAAGCCACTGGAGCTATGCACTTTGACATCACCTAGATTGAAAACTCATTTCTTAAGAACTGCTTTTTGTATTTAGTTTGTTGTCATTCCCCCCGCACATCTGATTAGCACAGTTGGCCACATATGGTGCGAAATAATTTCAACATACGTACGTAATACCCTGCTGGGAAGTGTTGCCGCAACAGAGCTCTGCGCGGTGGTGTGGCTGTGCGGCGGTTCCGATGGAGCAGTTGGCGTCATCGTTAGGGAGCACACTCAGAGCCCCAACAACTTGCTCACTCCCTTCCAACATCTCCAGTTTAAACCCCCTCTCTATGCCAAAGGTGATTTATCGCTCAATTAAGCACGGAGCTCTTGTTCATAGTCCTGAGACAGTGGTGGACACTCCGCATTCCTATGGTGGGTGCGAGTCTCTCCGTTGACTTCAGCACAAAGTGTGGTACTCATTGTCACGAAACCAGAGGGATAATGGGCTGAGTCAATCCCCAACCAGGATTTTGACTCAAGTTTTTCCGTTTGTGAGCCACCTGACCGGGCATCTGTGGCTTTGTATTATTCGTCTATACATGACTCAACAATTCATATTCCCCCACTGAAGCTGCGCAGTATTTTTTTTTATTAATTCGTGTCCTTTTGTGAGAAGCTACAAACTCGATCATTGTGGGAGAAACATTTAATTAATTAAAGGGGTAGAGTGTTCCTCGCATGGTCCTGAGTATTTTCATTCCTGGCTGTAAACATTTAATCATGTTTAGAGAAAAAAAAATCGCCACATTGGAAGCTGTCCAAGACTATCCGCGTATACTAGGATAGTGCAAATTTTTGTAGTTTTACAATCATACTTTTGGTTGTGAGAACAGTTTTTTTACTGAGCTTAAACAATAATTGGCACATTTAAACTCTTGTACACATGACAACATGATTTGTATGGGGTGATACGACTGCAACATCTCGTGACCTAACCCAAAAATTAATTATGAATCAAATTATTGGCTATGAAGAGCTACAGCATGGAAAGTTGACGTGAAAAGCTTCACGTTGTAGATTATGGAATGGAACTCGCCACGGTGGCGAGATGGTAACTCCCTCGCCTGGAATACAGCAGGTCGTGGATTCGATCCCGACCATGACACCTGTATATTTGGAGTTTGCATGTTCTCCCCATGGTCGCGTGGATTTTTCTCCGGGTCCTCCGACTTTTTCCTCCACATTTAGAAACATGCATTTATAGTGTTTTGGGTGCTATGAATTTACACGTGATAAGCCACTTCATTGAGCTACCATTTATGGCCAAGTCATTGCTGAAAAAGATATACATATAGCTCAGTGGGACTTACTTGGTAAAATTTGTATATTTTTTTAATAGTTTAACAGTGGCACAGCAGTTTGCACACTGTGATTTGAACCTGGAAACCGGAATTTAATTCCCGACCCCTGGCTAACATCAGTCTTAATTTTTTCCCTTCACCAACCTGTACTGTCCAGCGTGGTTGAAATATGGTCAAACAACCATTCGATCAGCAGTGGATTGGCAAAAAGCCTGTAAGTTATTATTATTTTATTGTAAAATTATAACTGTTATTTTTTTGCTTTTCTGAACCTATCTATTCTTAGCACTTCCACACAACACATTGCAGTGGTAAAGGTCAATGCTGCAAGCAAACACAACTCATTATTAGATTCCTGGCCATGTGCTGCCCCGGGGAGTGTTACTTATTATCGCCGATTGCGTGCTTTGTGAGCAATGGTGGTAGAATACTGCCCATAGGTTACATCTGCTACGGAGATTGTGATATAAGGCCCAAACTGACAATTCAGGGCGGTATTACACAAACACATATATTTTTTGTAGCCCAGAGATGGTAGTTACTGCTGCTACAGCTGGAGGGAAGTGAGTATCAGAATATTTATTTGTACTGGAGGAATCCGATGAGCTATAAAGCTCTCTTTCACCAATGTCAAGTCGGGGCGGGTCAAAATGTTACAACAACAAACAATACAAACCCCGATCGGAGTGCAAATTATGAGGAAACAGAATCAAATCACTTAAAAAATATACAAATAAAACGCTAAACAATTTTTATCTTACCAGGCAAATGTCCACTCAGCTATTCACTTCTTTTTCAGAAGCGACCACATATCATAGCTCAACGAAGTGGCTTATCACGTGGAAATTTATAGCAGCAAAATTATCTAAATAATCTAAACACATGTTTCTCAATGTGGAGGGAAAAATTGGAGGAACTGGGGAAAAAAATCCACGCAACCATGGGAAGAGAGACTTGCAAATTGCAAATATACAGGTGTCAGGGTCGGGATCGAACCCCCGACCTCCTGCAAACCAGGCGAGGTATCTATGCCAGCATCACTGTCCAAATTTGCCAAATAAAAAAAATGTACCCTGAAAATTATTCAATTGGGACTACACACAGCAACATCGCCCCCTACTCTCAAACAACTGGAAAGGATGTCTGTAGAACACAGCAGTGCCTTTGTGATGGCTTCGCTGTGTCGTAAGAACAGCGTGACTACAACATGTACTAAATAATCACTATTATTATTAGTGATGTTAGGTTTGGTGATGGAAATCCTGTCAGAATGCAATTCACCGGTGTGAACAGCTGAATACGGAAAGGGCGTTTGAAGGTGGAATACAAGAGACGCGCATAATTCGTTTCCTGCATTCCTCCTCCCGGACGGCGCTGTGTAGGCAGCACGATGGTCGATTTCACTGCAAAATATTCCATCATGGCAAGGTGGGAATTATGACGATGATAATAATGACATGGACCTGCATATGTTCTCAATTATGAATTATCACTATTATTGAGACATTGTCGCTGTTTGCTTTATTACACCGGTGAGCGCTTGTGGCTACAGAAATGCTGAGTGCGGTTTGAAGGCTGTGATGGTTTAGGACGGCCGAGTTCCCCTGGCGCGTATCGTTGTCACGATTATTTGTTTCATGTAAACGCATTTCTCATCTTCGCATAGAGTTAGTCACAGACCCTTATTAACAATTATCACATGTCCCATTATCCCCCCTTTCATTAGCTGTTCTGTTGGCATGGTAGAGAGCGGCAGCGTTCCTCTGCTTGGCTCCCTGCCTTTGGTTATCTCAAAGAAGCGTCAGCTTTTACACAAAACACCGTCTCCAAGGAAACAGGGATAATTCCCTCTATTTATAGGCAAAAATAACATACATTGACCTGCTGTACATGTAAACTAGACTACGTGTATAGCATGAGAAGTCGGCGGAATGTTAAAATGCATATGCCTTTAATCTTCGAGCCTTGTGTTTTGTGTTGGCGTGCAAAGGCTCTCTTTCTGCCAATTCTCCAAATGAGCATGCTGTTCCACTAGGGAGTGATGTTAACTACCTCGCCTGGTATACAGGAAGTTGTGGGTTCGATCTTGACCCTGAGGCCTGCATATTTGGAGTGTGCGTGTTCTCCTGTGGTCGTGTTGATTTTTCTCCGGGCCCTGCGTTTTTTTCCTCCACATTTAGAAACATGCATTTCGAGTTTTCGGATACTATAATTTGCACATGATAAGAAGTCCCTTCATTAAGCAATCATTTCTGGCCAGGTCGCTTCTGAAAATAAAGCGCTATATAGCTCAGTGGGCGTTACCTGGCAAAATAAATGATTTAGTTTATAGTTTAGAGAGCACTAGGAGTTCATCTTCAATGCGGTTAGCCGGACAGGAAATACCACGCTTCGGAGCTTGGTGTCACATGAACATCAAAATACCATGAATCACTCCTGAAAACCACCTATTCTAGAGATCCATGGGGCACGTGATGTGGCATGGTCTGCAATGCTGCATTTCCACGGTCGTTGCAAAGGAAAACCGAGCCGTGCCGGGCAGTTCCAGGTATGGCCTAGCACAGCTCGTCTCTCATTGCGACGCTTACACGAGCCTCGTGGCTCTGTAAGCTCAACCCCTCCACTCCTTCCCTGTCGTGGCCTCATCTCCCATATACAGATGGAGAGAAGTGATTGCATGAAAAACAGATATTTAACAAGGTTTTCTACGTGCCTAGGTTAGTTGTACACTATCCCAAGATAACATCTATTATTCCTGTAATTGATGCCGTGTCTATCTTCTAAATTGATAGAGTGACATCAAGAAGGGCGGCCCAGCTTTAAGAGTGCAGCTCTCTTAACAAATGCACCTACGATTAGCATGGTTGGCGACCTATGGTACGAAAGAGGTTCAACATACATGCAAAACGAGCCACGAGGCCCACCAAAAGCTCAGTAAGGCTGCAACCAGGCCAAGTAACCAGGCCAAGCCAATTTTCCCACTTCAAAAACTGTGCCACCTTCCTTTGAAGTAACCATCTGGAATGTAGCGTGAGCGACCACAGTAGAGAACCTGACATTGCAAGTCTCACACTTGCTGAGCGCATGTTCCATTAATTACCATCTACAAAGACTAATTGGTGTTGATAATAACTAGATTTGATACACATTTGATTTTCATTGCTCTACTTCGCAGCGTGTGTGTTACATGGCGTGTTGCGGCCTTGGGGGGTGCAAACGGCGGCTTAGGAATCGTTCAGACAAACCAGAAACATCCCCTCTCTTGACTGGGCACGCTTGTGCCTGTGAGCGAGTTTGACTGATCCGAGAGCTTGTACGTCTTGCACGTGTGTGCGTGTCCAGAAACGGGTGGGCCGACCTTCACCATCGCCAAATCCATTTGGCTGCTGTGGGCCCTCGTCTTCAACAACTCCGTGCCAGTGGAAAACCCACGTGGCACCACCAGCAAATTCATGGTGTCCGTCTGGGCCTTCTTTGCCGTCATATTCCTGGCCAGCTACACGGCCAACCTGGCCGCCTTCATGATCCAGGAGGAGTACGTGGAGCAAGTGTCCGGCCTCAGCGACAACAAGGTAAGGACACGCTGGTTCAGTTAGGGCTTTTATTCTTCTTCCTCTTCTTCTTGGCATACAGCTGATGTTAGATGCAGAGCAATAACTACAATTTCACATTCAGGTGGTTAAGCCCAGACAACCGCATCCGGAGCAGCAAGCGGAGTGTATCGCCGTGATGTCTCCTTCGTATTTATGGATCGGGGCAATGTGTTGTTACATGTTGTACGGCCTGTTCTGGACGACCACAGTCACACACTGGAGAGATTTTAAGTTTCCATTTGTGCATCAAATGGAAGATAGCAGCCTTCAGGAAGCCCACTCTGTTAAGTAAGAAATCACAACGAATACCATTGATGTGGCGACAAAACATCGATCATCGATCTCCTGGTCTCTAGAGCAACAACACAAGTTTGCTCGTACAACTCACACACTGTGTCCAACTACAGGTGTGGTGATTCAACTGCCCAGAGGATTCGATTAATTGTTATAATTGGAGTCGCGACTTAGGAGCCTGGTGATTCGGCAGTCGGTTGCGAGTTCATATCTAACTCTCGGAAAGATTATTTGAATGTCTCTGTGGATCGCTTTGGTGACAGCTTGTCAGATCTGACGCCCTTCTCATTCCGTGTTTTGGTACTTCGTGTAATCTCTTTGTGGCTGTTCCATGTTTGTCAATTTTCATTATTATTTATGTACACTTTTTCTCATATAGGTCGTGGTTTGACTGCTACAATTTTTAAAGAATCAAGTTTATTTTCATAGTCTGCAAAGGCTAGACGCAATGGATATTTTAATCGATTGGTGTTTTTCAGAATGTTACGAATAGTATGTATGCGGTTGATGGTAGAAAAGCATTTACTAAATCCTGCTTAACCTAATTAGTAACAAAAATATGTATTTTTTTAAAGCTAGTCTTAACTGATTATGATGAAAAGAAAACAAATATCAAAAATCACGCACGCAGCGCAATTATTTTTCTACTGTTTCTAAATCGGTGCAACGGTATTGATGAGCAGGAGTGAGTCAGAGATATCTAAAGCACACTACATTCGTGTAAATGGTGGGAGAAATTACCCCAATACCGTATGCATCAAATAAAATAGACTCGCGATGCAGCAGCGAAAGCTTAACCACAGCCCGGCTCAAGACCAAATCAACCGCCATGCCAATGTACAACTATGACGGCCGTGGTGCTGGACAGGGCTCGCGAGAATTCGCTCATTTCTAGACCGAGCTGCCAGCAGCTAAACTATTAAAAACTATGTTTTATCGTACCAGGTAATGCCCACAGCCATATGCTCTTTTTCATAAGCGACCTGGCCACAAGTGATAGCTCAACGAAGTGGCTTATCATTGTGTGGAAATGTATAGCAGGCAAGCTGGGGCATGCAGTAAAAGCCTTACCTGCGGAGCAGACCCCTCGCCTAAACAGCAGAGAGCAGGAGGAGAAATCCCGCCACAAACGCTGTCAGTGCTGATTAGAGAGCGGGGCTTGGGAGAGTATAGCTCGGGGCAAGTACGAAGCGTAATAAAGTGTTTCACGAGAAGCTTGACCCTGCTACCCCTCGCGTCGCCGAATTCAATGCATGAGCGGCTGAAAGAGAAGCCATATGCAGGGCGTGCAGCACCAGAAATTTGCTAAATATCCTGTGGATAACAAAGCAACCCTGCGTTAGTTTGCTTTAACCTGCAAGGTCGATGCAATTTTACCGTCCAATGAATAATATCCATGCAATTCCAAATTCAATTGGCGTAAACTGTGAAATATTTGAGAACTTTCAATATATACAAATAACAATGTGAAATGGGTAACCTTTGTTATTAACACTCTCTTTTTTTTAATAATAAACGTAAAAAAAACATTTAGAATCCCAAGATATTAGGCAATGGTATTTGTTGCCCTCTTGCCCGACACATTAGCCTATAATGTGTCTCTAGCAAAGCACTGTTAATGATTTAGAAACAAAAGATGCAGATTCCTGGTGGAGTAAATGGATGAAATTTACATGGCCGCTTTAAATAAAACCACATGTTTCTAAATAGTTAGTTTTTTTATTTTATTGTTGACCTGGTTGTGACGAAATGTCTTTTCTTTTTAAATAAGAATTTATGCTTCACAATTGTGAAGCGTTGCATTAGGAAAATTATTGAGTGGAGTGAAAATTCAACAGACTCTAGGGTGTGCTGGGTTTGTGTTATAATTATCTTCCCTAAAATGCTCAAATGGGCATTGAGGTGGTGCTCATCTACTGTGTGCAGCCCTGAGCCAGTCGTTAAAATTCCACATTCCTATGACGGGGGCGAATGTATCCATCGGATAAGTGGTGCCTACTTTACAGACCCCAAAGTGATAATGGGTTTGGTCAACGCCCAACCAAGAGTTGAACTCGCGACCTTCCGATTGCGAGCCAATTGCTCTACCTCTGAGCCACCTAGCTGGACTGTGCACTATATTACATCTTAATGTAATCTAAAATATACACATTTATAAACGCAATGCATACATGTATATGGATGACTTTACCTTTAGTTTTATGTTACCAATAACTAAAAAAATATATAATATCTGTATGTATGTTGAACTTCTTTCGCACCGTACGTGGTCAACTTTGCTTACCGGATGTATGGGGAAAGGATAACAAACGAAACACAAAAAAAGCAGTATTAAAGAAATTAGTTTTCAATCTAGATGAATTAAAGGTGCATAGCTCACGTTGGCTTCCTAACATCGGAAGGAAGAGCATTCCAGACGGCCGCAGAAGCGCATCTGAAAGCGCGCGATGCGGTCAATGCCTGTGTTCGATGGCAAGCCAAAAGCCGCTGCACTATGACCACTAATAATCTCACTTGATCTCTGCTGTTATCTACAGGAGGACACTCTCTGTGAAACCCCTCTTATCCGTAATGTGCAGTCCATATGAAAGACACCTATGACTACATGAAACAACTTTTGAGGTGCATAAACTATGACCAACATCAGTGGCAGCTTTGTGGCGATTTGAAGGTTGTTGCTTTCTTGCTTAGCCTGCAGACTGGATACGCAAAGTACTGATGTTTTTAAATTTTGATTTAAAGCTTTCGTGACTGCAGTAATTCATATTCTTAGCTCTTTCGGTAAAGTTACGTTGAAGGGAAACAATAAAATAATAAAATACATATAAAACAATAAAAATTCTCACGACGTTTCGACCATAACACAAACGGTCGTCATCAGGTGTGTCGGTTTGCATAAATTTATTAATTTTTAAAACGGTGTATTTATTTAATTATAAAAAACCGTCAGCGCCACGTGCAGCGATTTGGCAGTTTATCTAGAAGGACGAGTCCATCTATGTTCGGAAAAGAGGAGGGGGGAGACGAAAAATTAAAGTATGCTGTCTGAAAGCCACTGTAAGCGTGAACAATCAATTAAGACCTGAAATGGTTTATCAAATCTTTCCAATGATTGCTAAGCCAGAATCCATCTTCTCGGTTGAAATTGTGTCTGTGTTTGTATATGTGGATAGCCTCATGAACGAATCTCTCATGGTAGCCAGATGGCTTACAAAGAACTTTTGTCCGGGAAAAGTCAATGTCATGTGAGCCTACTGAATTATAACAATGATCTGCCACGGCCGAGGTGTTGGTCCTACCGTGTTTAAGGTCTGCATTGTGTTCACGAATGCGGTCCGAGACATGGCGTTTGGTTTCTCCAATGTAACTACTACCACAGAGGCAACTTAGTTTGTAGACACCAGGGTACTGTGTGTCCGGAATCACATCTTTTACAGACGGAACCAGATCACGGATTTTATGTAATGTGTTGAAACGGACCTGGATCTTGTGTTTATTCAAGATTTTGGAGATCTTTTTTGTGATCCCCGCAATGTAGGGTAAAGTGATGGTTTTGAAAGGCTCCTCAAGAGGGTCCTTCTTCATGGTTTGAGTGATAGCTTTGCGGATTGTATAGTCGGAGTAACCATTAGCCTTAAGAGCTTGGTGTACGTGCTTGAGTTCACTGCCTATGTGTTCTTGGTCGGATATGCATTGGGCTCTATGATACAGAGTCTTGATGAGAGAATTCTCCTGTGATGGATGGGGGTGGGAATCTGGTTTCAGATAAGCATCTGTATGGGTAGCTTTCCTGTAGACAGAGTGGCCCATTGAACCATCAGGTCTCTTTTTAATTAGGACATCCAAAAAAGGTAGCTTGCCATCTTTTTCGACTTCCATGGTAAATCTGATGGCTGGGTGTATGGAATTGATGTGGTCGAAGAATTGGTCTAGAGCAGGCCGGCCATGTGGCCAGATGACAAAAGTGTCATCCACGTACCTCTTCCATAAGGTTGGGCGCAGAGTGGCAGTCTGGATGGCGTCAGTCTCAAATTTCTCCATGAAAATGTTAGCTATAACCGGAGATAGGGGGGAGCCCTTTGGGGTGCCCTCAGTTTGTTTGTAGAAGTTCCATTCCAAGTGAAGTATGTATTGGTTAAACAGTGTCTCACCAGGGGGGGTACCTCAGTGTTTAGTCCTTGATGAACCAAGTCTTCAATGATTGCGATGGTGTCAGGTACAGGAACCTTGGTGAATAAGGAAACTACATCAAAACTGACAAGCAGGTCGTCTGGGGACAGGGAAATACCCTTGATTGTCGATACCAGGTGAGTAGAATTTTGTACCGCAGAGGTGGTTTTTCCAGTGAAAGGACGCAGGATTTCAGACAAAAAACGAGCCAGTTTGTAGGTGGGGGAGTTGATAGTAGAGACAATGGGACGAAGGGGTGTATCTACTTTATGTATTTTTGGTAAGCCGTATAATCTTGGTGGCCTGGCAGCAGAAGGTTTCAACGAAAACTGTTTAGATTGATCAATTAATGCGGTTGAATCAGAAATTATTTTGTTGGTTTGTGTGACGAGGCTGTTGGTGGGATCTCTTTTTATTTTTGTATAACTACCATTGTCGAGTAATTCTTTAATTTGTTGTTGTATTCTATTTTATCCATGATGACAGTAGCATTGCCCTTGTCAGCTGAGAGGACT